TAAAGAGACATCTGCAATAGACGGTTTGATGTGAAAAAATTAAATATGCAATAGGGCGCGGGTTCGGACTGAGGTTGCATGCAGCATAGAAATGTATAATTCATGAGTAAATTAGAGTACTATTTGGTTTTAAATCTATTATATTGTAGATTTTGCTTACGTCTATACAATCGTAACGTATGTAAGGTTTAAGAAACTTTAGATCATATATGAAACATTACAAATATTCCTATGTATATATATTTTGTTCGAGTTGTTATAAGATGAAATTCGGTCATTTTTCTTAGAACAAGCTAAACCGTTAGATGCAGTCCTTTTTATAAAGTTTTTATACTTTAAAGGCCTGTCCCTATAGTGTTAAGCAATTATAGATTATGCCGATTGTTGGTGGATGATTGGTGAATTTTCCATTTTTTTTTCTTAGTGGGGTTATTTTACATCATAAAAAAGAAATTAGTCCAGTCGGTCTAGCGAACAGCATTTTTACTCATAGATTAGCGTCTCTTTATGACGTATGAGGCTGAAAATTTATTATTATGAAATAAAATATGGCATAGTATTGCTTTTACGTAATGTATTTTTCTATTTTTAAAAGATGTTCAGTAGTTTTAGAATTTATTTATTACAAATAACGGAAAAAATGTTTTCATTTAAAAAAATAACAATTTTTTTTTCGATATCAAGCCAAATGCTGGCAAGCTTCAGCAATGTTTATATGTTTTCGGATAGTATAGGTAAATAGTGTAACGTAGTATATTTGGTACAAGAGCTTTAACTTTGAGAATATACTAAATACCTCATATAGCTAATAAAATATAGAGGCACTTTTCAGAAATTGCTATATAAACCAAATTACAAAAAACAATACGTAAAACACAAAATTCTCTTCGAAAATTTATAACTTACCTATTTATAGAGTTAAACTCGTTAGCGTTAGGCTTTTTAACAATAAGCTGTCGTGACTAATCATATATCATAATAACAGATTTTATTGCTTCAAAATAGTAGGATAATTAGGGAAATTGATGATGTCTATTCATATCCATTACTAATATTATAAATGTGAAAGTGTGTGTATTTGTTTGTTTGTTCGTTCGTTTGTTAGTTTGTCCTTTTTCACGTCGAAATCGAGTGACGGATTGGCGTGATTTTTTTGTGTGGAGATAGTTGGAGGGGTGGAGAGTGATATAGGATACTTTTTACGATATTTTTAGATTATCTCATTCCCTCGGGAAAACACGTTATAATACAACCCATAACAACTCATCATACCTATGTGTATACAATATATGTACATATTATTATCTCTGCTAATATTATATACAGGTAAAGTTTGTGAGTTTGTGACGTTGTAGGTGGTAATCTCTGGATCTACTGAACTGATTTAGATGAAATTTAGTAAGAAGATAGTTTGAGACTCTGGGAAAGACATAGCATACCTACTTTTTATACTGGAAATCATCCTTTAAAGGGGTGAGAATGGGGATGAAAGTTTGTTTTGGGAAGCAAGCTAGGAATGAACCCGAACGAAGCAAGGGTGAATCGCTAGTGTACAATATATTTATTTTCTATCTATTCCATACTAACCGTTAAAACGTACCTAAGGATGAACCCGAGCGAAGCGGGGATGAATCGCCAGTAGTAGTATAAATAGGGAAATTGATGAGGTTTATTCATATTAATAATCATTTTCAATGTCATTAAGTATCATTTGAGCATCCAAATACCTTATCAATATTTATTATCTATATAGCACATTATATGAATTTATGTGTGTATAAATTAAATTATAGTTTCAATTTGGTATTTTCTAACTTTATCTTATTTTCTCGTTTTACGATAAGAAAGCTTAAAAAAACTAATCTCTAATTTACATATGTACATTTAATTATTTATTGTACTGTTATTTTTTAATATTATGTGAATTGGTAGTTGCATGTTTCATACGATAACTATTAGTACTAAGCACTGACGTTTAGTTTTTTTACCCAACTGCGGCGAAGCCTAGAAGGGTTATGTATTTGACCTGTATGTATATATACATATGTATATATATATGTATATATATATGTATATATTATATATACACATAGGCACTTACTGTTTTAGGTATACTTGCTGCGAGTTTTGTTACGTGGATGTGTCTTCGATTGCATAGTTTTTAGCTCCGTCAACAACTTGTTCTCATCTTTTTAGTTCGCTTTTACTCAGTATATTTTTTTATGATTAAACTTAATATTAGGCTACTATAGAAGAAGTCATAGGCATAACCATTCTATTCGAAGTAATTGATTGGAAAATAATAACAGTGTTAAAGGAAACAATATAAAAATAAATTGGACGTAGTTATGCAAAATGGATCCAGCCCACGAAAACCGTTTTTTGAGTTACTGTCATAAATCAATCTATGCACCTACATATAAACTTATATACAGAAAGTAGATAAAATAAGCCATTATTTAAGAGGAATTAAAAAAAATACGGTCTTGTAATTTGGATATACCAATTTTACTAAAACTCCTATTTTCTCAAAAGTAAGTTTTTGTGGTTGGATCTATTTTGCTCAACTACTTCAAATTATGGATCAAGGGATGATTGGTTAATGCTTATATCTGTATAAATATTAAACATTGTAAATGTGAAAGTTTGTGAGTATGTATGGATGTTTGTTACTCTTTCACGCCAGAACGGCTGAACGGATCTGGATGAAATTTAGCACAGAGATAGATTACAGTCTGGAATAACACATAGGCTACTTTAAAAAGTAGCCTATGTGTTATATTAAAGTAGTGATAAATCACGGAAAAATATACGGTTCCCGAGGGATGGATTTGTTTTTGTTATTCTAGAGGCGAACCCGAGCGAAGCTAGGGTGAGGCGTTAATTTTAAATAATTATTACAAAGTAACATATAATGATATATTTCTGTCTGTTTGTATAACGCCGGTTTAAATATCGATACAACTATACTGACTTTAAGAACTGATTGGCGATTTGAAGAGTTTTGGTGAAAAAGCTCATGGAGCACTTAAATTTCATCTATACATTTATAAATAGACAAAGCCAAAAAAGTTCGGTACCATTTCTGATCTGTTTCTAAATCGATTTTGTTTTTTTGTTTAGTAGCTATAGACGAGCTTTATTTACCACTAAAAGTTTTTGGAAATATTTTTTTCATATTCGTACATAAATAAATTCTATTCATATCGGTATATATGTTTTTCTCAAATTTTCAACAATGGTTATGGTCAAATTATGACCACTCGGGCGTATTTCATTAATTAAGCGAGTCACAAGATAATCCACTGCTTGTCTCACACGTTTTATTGTAACGTTAATATTACAGAATATTCAATTCCGTATAACATGTCTGTATCGAACTTGAGAGCTTCGAATATCTTGCGGAATCCCAAAATCAATTGAAAATGTTGAACAGATTGATGAATCACTATATTTTCGTTCCGTAATTGAAGCGGGTGATGTTTTGTTTCGTACATATTGTACACTAGCATTCGCCTGTGACTCCGCTCGCGGGCTACGAGGAATCAAAGCCTATATTAGTGTCACCTTCAATTATTCCATTCACTACTGATCTGATAATGAAAATCATGATAAAAGTGGTTTTCAACCCCCCTTAACCTTTAACTTCTTTAGGGGATAAATATATTATATAATAATGTAACTACCTCGGTGGTGTAGTGGCTAGCATAAATGGCTGCACACCCGGAGGTCCTGGGTTCGAATCCCGGGTCGGGCCAAGTGTAGTTATTGAGTCTTTCTGTTTAATAAGCCTCAGTAACAGCCCGGAGTTGGAAAGTTGGCGGTGTTTCACCCCCGTGCCTCGGAGAGCACGTAAAGCCGTCGGTCCTGCGCTTTAACTCTCACTGGTCGTGTCGAGTGGTCGTCTCACCAGAGTATGAGAGTGACAGGAATAGAGAGTGCACTTGTGTGTGTCTGCGCGCACACGCGTTGCACTATAATATCTCCTGCGCAGATGCCTATTCTAAATGAGTTTGGCCGCCGTGGCCGAAATCGGTGGGGAGGACATTACCTATATAATATAAAATACATATGTACATATATATAAACTTAAGCATCTATTATAAAAAAAACTGTTTCTATTTGTTTATTGATAGCGCTAAAGTTCGTAAATGGCCATTAAACAAAAAAGAAAACAGTTAACAAACAGAGGAGAAAAAGTACTGCACTTTTTGGTCTTTGCCTATTTATATAGATAGATAAATGATTGCCATATTGATGTTGTTTTTCGAAATCTTTATTTACTCTTTTCTGTATAAGCTTTTTGCTTTAATGAAATTTATCTGCACTGTTAACCTTAAGTACTATAGTTTCAGCAAGTTTTATGATTCCATCTTCGTAGATATTTACGACAATCTCATATAAAATGATGGATTTTTAATATCTCAATATCAGGCAGAGTATTTTTTATTTACGGTCTTCACTGAAGAAATTCTTCTAGAAATAATTAACTAAGCTCATTGAAAAGCTTAAGTAATTTAATATTGTTTAAATAACTCATATGAAAACATATTTCATTAAAACAACTTATGTAATTTCTTTAATTTAATTTTCAAAAATAAGCAGCAGCAACTAAATTCTCCATATCAATATAATTAAGAAATAATTAAATTAATATTATATGATCTACTATTAATTAATATATTGATGAAAACATGAATAATATGAATAAAAAAGCATAAAAAATACAATATTATAAATAAAAATGAAAATATTCTACTAAAAGTATAAACACGTAACTTCATAAGGTTGTAAGGATGTATGTTTGTTACTCTTTCATGCAAAAACTCAAAGACTACTAAACGGATTGTGATGAAACTTTATCGTAATATAGCTTATATGTATCAAAGTATAATATGCAAACTACATCATTGAAATACGCGAGCGTAGTCGGGGAAAACGTTAATAATAAATATTATTAGTTGCCATAAAATAATATATGTATATGTAATTATAATCACCTAGAACAAGCCATGCTATAATCACTCCACCCATCACAAACATTATCGTCACACTCGTTAATTAAACTGAAAGAACAAGCAGAACAATAAACTGATACAACACGTCCACTTTACTATACCGCTTTGACGAAACTGTCCCGCATCGGCGTACGCGCAGACAATAGACGCGACGTATTATACATACGAATGATTAAAGCGCGATATTTTTTTTATTGATTTTTAAAGATAATATAAAAAGCATAAAATATTGTAATTTATTATTTCTTTGTCTTAATAACTTATATATTGGTTTATAATAACTTTTTATTGAAAACCTTATATGGAAAAGGGAAGAAAAAAGGTTTTAATTCTAAATAAAACTATCTTTTCGGATTTTTTCGCGAATTTATTTTGATTTTTGGTTCCCGACGTTTCGAATGCTTTACAGCATCCATGGTCACGGTAGAGACTGAAGTGTTACATGTCTTGAATGAGGTTTTAATTCATCAATATTTTAAAATTAAAATAATTTTAATCTTAAAAAACCGCCAAACAGGTAAAGTACGCTATAAAAGAAAATTCAAAAAGAAAAGCCTGCATTGATATTACACCTGTCACTTAGTTTTAAATTTAATTAATTATAATCGTAACATATTACGGTGTAATGAAATGATTGACGGTCGGCTGACCACAAACAAAAGCTAACCTCAAAATGTCTATAGACCTTGCTTATGCCATCTATACATATAATAAAATTGTAACTAAGCCGAATCTGTACATTAAATATTTTTTCGAAAAATCTTATTGAAATAAACATTAATTATTATCGATACAGAGGCCAAATCTATAGTTTTTAGAATTTTTGTCTGTCTGTCTTTTACCGCATCATAGAAAAAGCACTGGAGGGATTTTGATGAAATTTGATATGGTGATACCAAATTTCATCAAAATCCCTCCAGGTCAACATTTAGGATACTTTTTACCGCGGGAAAATGTCTCATTTCTGAGAAAAATACAAAAGCTGCATTGTAAGAGTATACTAATATGTAAAACCTAAGATATTAGTTTTTGGTCATCTAAACGCGGGCGGAGCCGCGGGCAATGCTAGTTATAAATAAAATTAGCTACTTTTTGAGTTCTGCATTATTGTATAATTGCAAAATTTATGATTTGATAACACCGTTATTATACGTAGTATACACAGTTATTCCGCGTACAGATTTTAATGAAAGTATTACATCGAAAGCGCGTTTACATTTAATACAATATACTTTTGATGAGGGTAAAACTATCAAAATTTTCTATATAGAATATTTTTGTTGTTTATAAGCATTGATTCTTTACGTATAAAAATAATATTAGTATTTAAAGTTAATTTTATACGTTTATTAAAAATATAATTCGAGATATATTGAATGATCCAAAAATGTCATTTTTTATAGCTTTTAATTGACATCTCTTAGTACGAACCGAATACACGAAAATAAGATTTCTTATACACACATACATACATATATACTAATCTAAAAGCTTTTCTATACAAAATATTTTTATACGAGCTAAGATATGAAATTATTTAGGGATTGGATTACGAATTTTTTACATAAAATATATGAAAGCATTACTAAAACTATAATGCTATAAATACATATTGTGTTTCATATAAGAACCCGTTGACATTTGTAAAATTGGGTTTAACGTGGAGACAGCTCATACATCAAAATCTGTTAGCCGAATTATATAGAGACGATGGCCTTATTTTATTTTATCGAATTAAAATATACATTATTTCGTAAAATGTAAAGATATAATATTTTCAAGATTTATGATGAAAACTAATTCAGCAAAATATTAGATTTTATTAAAGATTAATTATTATTATTAAAATATTGATTATACTGGCATCTCATACTCGTTTCGCTCGGGTTCCTTCCTAGTTACGTTTTATTGTTTAGTATAGATTTCTTAAAGATGAGATATTTTCCCGCAGTAAAAAGTATCCTATATGTTGACCCGGATAACCAGCTACCATCATAATAAATCAAATATAATCCATTTTATCAAAATTCCTTCAGTAGTTTTTTCGTGATGCAGTAACAGGCAGACAGAAAGACAGATAAAAGTTCTAAAACCTATAGATTCGGCCTCTGTATTGATAATAATGCCTATTTCAATAAGATTTTCCAAAAAATATTTAATTTACAGATTCGGCTTAGTTATAATTTTATTATATGTATAGATAATATTTTGAAAACTTACTTATTTTTAAAAAGATATGTTTTACATATAAGCATATAATCTATTTACCAACAAATTATTTAAGGCTCTCTATGTACTCTCGAAGTAAATAAGCAAAATTAAGATTAGGTCGTTTTCTTCTTTCTAGACTATGTGTATGGTGCGATTGCTTGAGAAACCAAAAGCAGCAAGTTCGAATCTCGGGTATGGCACATCAGATATTTTCATGTGCAAAATATTTTCAACGTGCTTACCACTTGTTTACCGGTGAAGGAAAACATCGTGAGGAAACCTAACAAGTTTCTGAAAGACATGTGAAGTCTAACTTGGTTAACCCACACTTGGGCAGCGTGGTATACTGTCCGGAACCCCCTAGTATTGAAGGAAGGCGTGTCCAGTAGTGGACTTAAAAAGGGCGGAATACAATATGATGCACAATCGCAAAATTATAATATAATTTTGTTAATCCCTATATAATACAAAAGGGTATAACGACTTTTACTTTGTGTTTTAAAATATGCAGACATTTTCATTAATACTGAAAGCTTTTAAGCTTGTGCCACATAAAAATATTCTGGATAAAGTATGAATGCCCTTTTAAAGTTCCACAGTAAACAGATTGTTAATAATCCTGATTCAATGAAAGCGAAACTTTTGCTATTGCAAAACTTTTGAATGCTTTTTCTCGTACTTTTTTCATAAAAATTGTTCGCCACCCATAAAAATGTTCGATTACTGCGTACTTATTTTTGATCGGTTTTATTGGTAGCTAGTAATAATAGGTTTTCTATCCATATAGGGCATTATCTTCATTTATATTTATAGATTTTTTGAAATAGATTGACTAATCTTGCTAACACTTTGGTTCTATGAATTGGGAATATGTGAAAATAACTAAATTATTTAACTCAACTGTAGCAGTGAAGTTTAGCCTGTACTCACTCACATTGTTTACTCTGTGCGTTGATACTCTCCAAAAATAAAGTATTTTTTTTTATTCACAACTAACGGCCTACCCTGATGTCAATATTAGTAGTTGTCGTCGTCGTCTCAGCCCAAACACGTCCACTGCTGGAAATAGGCCTCCGCCAAAAGTTTCCACAACAACTGGTCTTGTGCCATCCGCATCCAGTGGGCTCCAACGACTTTGACCAAGCCGTCGGTCCCCCTTGTGGGAGGAAGCCTTGTGATACAATATTATTATGGTACTAAAATTTGATCTCCCGCTATCGATTTCGGCCATGGTGGCTAATCTCACTGAGACTTGCATAATGTACATGTTATCTCGAACTAAAAATATACTAAACTTGTCTTATTTAATTTTATTATACTGTTGTTAAGCTATGTAAAAATTATGCGAATGTGAAGTCGTCTGGCATTTTATTAAGTAGTACGTTAAAAGGCCCAATGGCTTTTAATTTAGCCTCGTTATATTGTCATAGTTCTTCATTTTGCTCTGATTGGATGAATTCGCTTTCGCATTTATTTCGATGTATAAACAAACTTAATATTATACTAGCGGACCCGACAGACGTTGTCCTGTCTACACGTCTTTAATTTGAAAATTTCAAACTTTTTTTAATAAGCTAAAACATTCTGGACCATTTTGATGAAAATTATTATTCAAATTGTGAATCTAAACCATTCCCAGATCCCCTTGAACACACACAAAAAATTTCATCAAAATCGGTCCAGTCGTTTGAGAGAAGTTCAGTGACATACACACTCACAGAAGAATTATATATATAAAGATTATTATTGTTAGTTCTGGGTTTGATTTTATTTGCTACCCAAATTATTGTTACGAGCTGGTTGAGTTCAATGGGAAGCATTGCTATATATAGCATTTGCTGTCCTTAATCCGGTGAGAAGTAGACTAGATGGAGTAAACTATTTATGTATAAATATTGTAATTATATGCGTATATTCTATAAAGGACTTACATGTGTGAATAAAAACATATTTTAAAGTAAATTATCTTATTGCAATTTTTCACGGATTTATTTTAATTTTTGGTTTCCGACGTTTTGAATGCTTCAGATTAGAGCAATTATGGTCACGAGAGAGACTAAGGTTTATAATAGATGTCTGATAGTTTCATTTTAAACTAGCATTGCCCGCAGCTCCGCCCGCGTTCAGATGACCAAAAACCAAATTCTTAGGTTTTACATATTAATATACTCTTACATTGAAGTTTTTGTATTTTTCTCAGAAATGAGATATTTTACCGCGGTGAAAAGTATTCTATATGTTGACCCGGATAACCAGCTATCACCATACCAAATTTTATCAAAATCCCTCCAGTACTTTTTGTGTGACGCGGTAACAGACAGACAGACAAAAATTCTAAAAACCATAGATTCGGCCTCTGCATCGATAATAATGTTTATTTTAATAAGATTTTCAATGTACAGATTCGGCTTAGTTACAATTTTATTATATGTATAGATATCAAATGTTCGTATAAATCTAAAAAAGTAAAAAAAAACGCCTTTTTTCGCTAAATCCTATCTTTTCCCTCCCTTATACCAAGTATCTTATGTTTTACATAATATATTGTATCTGTATTTTGTATTGTATAGATACATACATTTTCTACTATAATAGCAGTACCAAATATAGCATAAAAAGGTTTTTTTCCTAACAAGCTTTCCTTCAAAGAAGATCATAATATTATATGATCAAAAAAGTAAAACTTACTTAACTTTACACGTGCTTTTGCTAATACTTAAGATAAGATATAAATGGCTCTCTACCTTGCTAATAATACAAATTAGAGAACTTTTAAGGAAAAGTTATCCGTTGAGTTATTGGTAATAATGCCGT